CACACACACACACACACACACACACACACACACACACACACACACACACACACACACACGCGCAACAAAAGAACAGGTGAGCAAATCTCTTGTTGCAGCAAGACTGGGCAGGCCTGGTGAGACAGAGGGTAAGGGAGCAGAGACTGATGCAGTGGAAAAGTACTGCTGCTCATCCCCTCTGAGACAGACCCTGGGCATGTGTGTGCTCGTGTGTCACGTCTCTGAAAATGACAAAGAGGAAGTGCTTGCTCATACATGTGTACACACACACACATGTGAACGTGCCTGTTCAGACTGAATAACAGTTAAATATCTCTGATCAGAGATCAGAGGTGTTGAATAACATGGAAAGTTACAGATTTGCCTTCTATTCAAGTGTAATTTAGCACCATTGTTCCAAAGACAACAGACTGATGGGTGCTTGTGAATCATCTGTCAGACTTTTTATTGCTGTTGTAGATAATTTTTTCCACAGAGAGTGACTGAACACAGCAAATACACATTTAGGGAGCATTGTTAGCTCAGCAGTGCACCTGCTCTCCTGTGAATTTGCATGATTAAACTGATGATATAAATATGGAGACAGAGTTCTTTCTCTTTATGTCGCACACACAGCAGACAGACAATAACGGTGGCTGGCAGGGGAGAGAGAGACGAGCCTCAAACAAAGAGAGAAATGTGGTGAAAAGTAAAGACAGAGACATGGATGACAGACAGGATTGGGCACACGGAACAGGAGACAGCAGTGGGAGGTGATACAGCGAGGTGGAGAAAGGATCAGCGAGTGAGTGAAAGCACGAGAGGAGCTGCTGTCACCCTTCTCTCATGCTTCTAATTAGATATTGACCAGCAGTCTGTCTGCTGGCTCCATATCAGTGTTTGACCCTCAGTGACCCCACTCTAATAGATTGCGCAACTGCACTTATGCTATGCGTATCTTTTTGAATGTGTCCTCAAATGCTAATAGATTATATTCTCACTTTGGGTGTCTGAGTGTGCCCTTATGTGAACGTTCATTTGCAGGATATGAATGAGTTGTTAGCAGCATGAGTCACATAGGAAGTGATATCTTGGAAGCTTATCCTTTGTTTCGCCTTATTTACAGAATGTTAAGTGTTTTAGCTTTGTGTGCGCTTGGCACTCAATCAATTATGACAAAGGGTTCAGCCTTTAAACACGTTGCAAGATGGCTTCACTGCACCTGATTTGCAATAGTTCTTCTTGAGTTATTTTGCAAAAACAAAACAAAAATTGATTTAAAAGGGACATCACTGTCAGCTGATATATATTTTTAGATCTTTATATCTCTCTTGACAGTAGCTGTTAAATCAGGTGCTCGAAGAAGAAGAAAATATGCCATGCAGGAAGAACACGTGCTGCCTGTGTTTTTCTGTCCAGCTGTATCGCACAGCTCTGGGTAATTCAATGAGCCTCCACTGTCCTGAGGAAGGAAACGGAGACCCGTGGCTGGAATTACAGACACTCGCTCTTTCACAATATCACAAGCAAACAGAGTGATGGACAGACATATCTTTGGCATCATCAGGAAATGGAGAAATTCCATGCTCCTCTGTGGATAACAGAATGCAATCACTCAGATCTGGTGATATCCTGATTGATCAAAGTGTGTTTCAAATATCAGTAACTATCTTTTCCCCCTGCATCTGCATGCGCGTTTGAGTCTTGCACCGGCTGACCAAACTACACGATTTGCCCTCATGTGGACAACACTGATGAGCAAGCGTGTTTGGAGGGCAAGTAACCATGGAGACCGGCATGGCCATTGACATGGTGAATCTCAGCGGTGGCCTGGTACTCCTCGGATCCCCCGATGTAATCCAGGATGAGCAATAATTGATGCACCTGTAACTGGACACTGTAGTCACTGCTGTATAACGCTCACAGGCGATCGATTTAAGGAATAAGTATGTGTCTGTGTCTGTGTGAGCAGAGGTGAGTCATTGTATTGGCTACACTCCGTATGTGCAGCATCTACACGCATTGCGGCAGAGAAAGTGAGGGAGATGTAGAGTGAATAAAAGAGAGACCCAGTCACTGTACGGTAATGTGATAATACACAAAAGATAAGAAACTAAAAGTCAGCGAGGCCTGAGAATGAAAGAGATGGTTGTGTCAGATAACGGCACACTTTCTACCTCGAATGACAGAAATGCAGGAAGTGTCATGTTGTGTTTAGGAGTGGCACCTGAGAGACGATTTATTATTATGCCAAGTCTGTTTAGCACGACAAGTTGAGGCATGAGAACTGATAGCGGGTTTCACTGGAACTGGGAAGTCATTTTCCTTCCTCTTTCCCTGCCATAAGGCAGAACAGAAACCGGTGCTTATGAATGCACAAACACAAGCGTGTTGTTTCTTTTCACATGAGGAAGTGGTTTGTAGATGGAAGAAATACATCTACGCCCAACATTTTCTTCTTAAAGTTTTCTTTTTTTCCAATGACCACAAAATCTGTCATACCTACATATGAGGCTAGCCTTCTTCTTTTTCCGCAGACCTGACTCATTCAGTGATAACGTCATGTCCTCTGCACCACGTGATGGTGTTACTGAGTGCTTCTAACATGCCTACTGAGTGGTAAACAGAAGAAAAGTTTAAAGTAAAGTCACTCGTGTATGACTGGATGCATACGTTTTGTTTAAAGGTTGCATTGAGTGGAGTCAGCAAAGCCTCTCAGCCGACTGTTTCACACACATAGACCAACGAGTAGAATTAAAAGTTGTGAGAGCTTAAAATTTGTCATGCTTACATTTTTAAAGCATGTATTTACTGTGAATGTCCATAAGCTGCTCTTCTAACCTAAAATGATCCAATGAAAGCATTTTAAAGTTAAAAACATTGAATTTTACTAGATAAAATGTAAAAACTAATAAAAGTGTTCACCACATAA